ATTAAATATTATAAATTTGGTATACATGAAGTCAGACAAAATCTATAGAATAAATTAAAATGTTCATAACAATCATAGATAGTAGATAATTAAARCACTGTATTTGTTATTATTATTTGTGTAACTATATACGTCTTATTATTTGATTCATATAATAATATTATTATTATTTTTTTTATTCATGATAATCACAGCATCAAAARCTACAATAAATTTAAAACTTATTACGTATTAACTTGAAAACAAAAATTATTAAAAATATATAAGGGTATTAATAGCATATAGAAGATATATTATTYCAAGGGAATTACATTTTTTTTTTAAATTTCAATATTAATACATCAATTCTCTTATGATTATCAAACATTAACGAAGAAAAATAAACTTTAGAGCTTAGAAAACTGAACATATAATTATTATAATAGTTCAAAATGTTCAGCGAAAAGCAACTATAAAATTAATATTCATCCCACGTACTTGTCGAAACTTAAAAATTTAATACGTATAAGTTCTAAAATATAAAACATCATTCACGTATGTATTATATTTTATAATATATTTCGTAAATTTCAATTATGAAGTATGGATTATTATGGTAGATTTATTTTATTTATTCATTTACTCATAATTATTTCAGAATAAAGAGTAGAATCTCACAATAATGGTATGCAAAGTATATATTATACAATTCGAAAAGAAAAAAGAAATTAAATATKYATGGTAAAAATAATACAAATATGTTCGGTGAATAAAATTAATAAATTACAATTTATAAAACACCAAAGAATTATTATTAAAAAAAACAAGTCAAAGTAATCTACATAGCTATTGTGTAAATGATGGGTTCTCGCGAGAGTATCATTCAGAGCTGATGTACATAATTAAGTTGATAATTTTTAATGAAATACAAAACTAAGGTGATTTCTAAGTGCTCCTGACAGGAATCTTAAAATTAATTTTAGCAAGGTGAGAAGAAGAGGAGTCAATAGAATCATAATGACGAAGGAAACGAAAATTGGAAGATTTATATTTATATCATATTATATCGTATAGTATTAAGGCGCTAGTGCAGGCTAGTGAATAAGTATATTTGGATTCTGACCAAGGAATGACGTAGTTGACTATTTTATTTCCAGCATTGTGTCATATATTATTGTTTCTAAAAACACATTTTAAGGTTATAAAAATGCTTCTTAAGTGTTTTATTGGAAAGTGGATGCGTCACATCATTATAGTACTTAATAAAATAGGTCATTGTTTTGAAAATCTCAGCGTTCGTTGAGAAAGTAATAAAAAAACAGAAAATGAGTGAAATGTYGGATTACTTAGATCAGTATTAATTCATCCCATAACTTTTTTTATGCGTTGTAAATATGTGTTTTAGATTGCTTATAATATAAATATTTTGTATGAAAATAACTAATATACAATTCTTAGAAGTAAAATTTTTAAAATGTCATTTTGGATCAATCGTGTCCGTAAAATAATCATTTGAATTGTAATTATTCCATAACATCTTGATGTTTAATGTTATAGTTAACTTAGTTTAAAACTATTATGAACGTCAAAATATCAGAATAGATAAATTAAATGTATAAATATACATCACCTATAACATAATATCAATAGTAGGTATAGTGAACTTCAACTAAAAGTCAAAAATAATTTTTATGTGAAATGAGAAACAAGCTTTATTTATAAGTAATATAAATAACAATGCAACACTGGGTTATGCGTACTTACTTATGGGAGCGAAGCGAAACGAATACTACACAAAATTAATTGTATTTTGTTCATATGTATTTTTTTAATTATAGATGTACTTACATATGTTACAAGTGTAATTTATTTCATGATTATGGTAATATTATCTACGAGTATACGAGATTTTTATAACTAAGAGGTGAAATTAAAACGTTTCTATAAATGCAGGTCATCCGATGTGGATTGATAAAAGCAGTCATATAACAATAAACTTTATTTTTTTTTTTCAGTGATTTGCTCTAGAAAAATTAATTAAATAGGTAACACAATAATTATATGGTTAATTTAGGCAACGTATCACCTAATTCCCTTTACCTCGAAAACATATCATTTTTTTTTTTTACATATTAAAATTAAAATATTTTATCTTTGTATATTAGGGAAGGTAAAGCAACAATAATGAAGTTTAAGAAAAAACATATCATATATATATTTTTAAATGTTTTTTATAATATCTGATTTTATTAGTAATCTCTTGAAGCTATTACCATCCATAAACAACTTTTATTGATTTTATACATATTGAGATCCATTAAAATGGCTTTAATCTGTCAATCGATTACAATATTTATTGGAAACAAAAATAGATAACCAAGCATATTTTTATTATTAACGGCTATGTTAAAGGAATCTAAAGATTGTCCAGTGGCAAAAAACACTTGTTTCATATTACACGATTTTCTATTATWAGTGTTAAAAAATAAAATAGAAGAAMATTAAACTCTAAAGCAATTATAGTTTGAACATGTAATTATTAATTGAATATATTATTACTGAAAACAAAAATCTTCTGCTTAAAAATTTGTACTGAAGATAAAAGATACTCGTTGAAAAAAAATCCTATCACCACAAAACGGTGTATTGTGTATGTGAATACCGTTTAAAAGTATTATGGTGTGTTTCAAGTGTTTTAAGTATGACCGTATAAATACATACAAAAATTTCAMAAATGAGAATCAGAAATGAGTACAATTGAACCTAAACATACAAATAAATAGTATTAAATGAACATATATTGTATAATACGCACCTATACATTTAATATTATGCTTATTTATGAGACGTGTAAGTCAATGTATTTAATAATTGGTGTTTAATCATTTTGGATTCTTCCACATATTTTTTTTTTAATAATACAATACGCTTAATTGTTTGAGTAAATAAACAAATAAAGGCACAACAATAATAGAACGAATAGATCAATCTATATTCTTCTAACCTATGTGAATCATAAAATTATATTKTAGGTACTTTGTATTTTGGATTTATTACTTGACCTATCTGTTTCGTGCGCAGGTCGTGGAAAGAAAATCAAACCGGCGAAGATGGCCATGATGATGGCCGGTACAGCGGCCGCCAGCATGCTGATGATGAAGGCCATAGCCGCGATCAAGCTGTTCATCATACACTCGTTTTTCGCCACCAAGCTGGGTCTAGTGGTGGGTGCCTACCTGTTGGTGTGCAAGCTGATGGAGATGAAACAGACGTCGGCCAAGAAGTCGGTGCAGGTCAAGTGGGTGTCGGCGCCCCCGAACTTTGATGAACATCTCCCGCAGATGCCACCCATGATGTCCCACTACCCAGACGCCGGTCAGTCGACTTACGAACCGCAACAGGAGCAGCAGCAACAGCATCAGCAACCGTATCAGCAACCCTCCGACCARTACGGACCGCCCCCGCAACAGCAACAGTACATGTCRTCCGGAGACTTCAACGGTGGTAGCGACTTGCAGGCGCACTATTCGCACGTAAGTCCGGTCACGTACAGGCCGGTGATGGTCACCCGCAATCAGTCGGACAACAATGCCAAGTCAGCTGCAGCCAGGGTCAAATCTTAAGACGAAACCGATGCCAGCGACGATCGAATATAATATAATTATTTCGGTACATAACGGGATCGGACATGTTTTTTTWWATTTATTTCGCCACCTACTCGTCAGCTGTATACAACGCGTGATGTGTTCCATTACATTCAAGTACCTCAAATCTGATTAATTGGCTAACTCGAATCTACGGAAATCCTCAGAAAATCTCATTTCAACACGTACACGTTTCTGTTTATCGTTCCAACTCGGAGGTGTACAACATAGCCAACTTCTCAACAATTTATTATAATGTAGGTACCTACTACCTAGTAGACCGTCCACGGTGATCTAGAACGTGATGTACCTACATACAATTTTATGATTTATTCGCCGAGTGCAAAATTWATTTTCAAATTATTATTCTTAACAATACATTTTTATTTATTTATTTATTTAATTATTTATGTTTATCATGTTATTTATTTATGAACATTTTAATATACGGATACTTYGACGTGTTATTACGTTGTATTATTAACACGTCGACTCCGTTTTGCTCAAAAACTAAAATAATTTTACAAAAACACATAATAAATTGTGGTTTTTGTCGAATTTTATTTATTTTATTACAACTCTAAGATATTGATACAAATTTTCTACGTTCCATTTTTACATGCGCGTACATTGGCACATAACGATTTATGTTATAATTTAATACATTCATACATTTTCTATAAATATTGTAATTACATATTGTCTTGTGTTCGTTGTATTAATATAATAAGCTTGGTATACATAAATCACACTACATCCTGTGGTAAATTATTTAATGAAATAATATTTTTTAAATGGACATTAATTAGTATCAATAAATTACTAAAATACTAAATTGTAATTTTTAATTATTATATTATCRTATAAARCTGTATAAAATTAACATATTATTAACATTATAATTGTTTGGTTCACGAGCCATTGAGTTTGTTTTAAGACAGGGGTAGACTTTAACAAAAATAATATATTAATAGTAGATAAAAATAAATAAATAATGAAACATCTAGATTATTACGCTAAAAATGACTTTGTCTATTTTACGACGGATATACATGTATAATGTATTATACATCAGATAATAGTGTGTTGGATAGTATATGATTATATCATAGATCGCGGATAGATGGCGTATAATAAATWGGTATTGCAAATTTATAAAAAAWTTTCAATACATATTATTATTATAAATTGGGTATCAAAAAATATCTTACAATTAACGAAATAAATATAATATAAATAATAAATAATAAATAACGTGATTTTCTTGGTTTTTTTTCCAAATAAATTAATGGATGTTCAAATAATATACTGAACGCCGGTGGTGCGGACGAGCAGGTGCTGACTATATAAACGTTTGAACCAGGCATATATACTGCAGTGGAATACAGGACTTCATCGTGTAATGTCTTATGCAGTTACCTATATATATGTAGAAAACAAAAAAAAAAAAAAACATGAAAAACGAATTAAGTATTAAGTCGTATATGGTTTAGGCTCTATTAACCACGTGTTCGAGTCAGCTCTAAGGTCTACCTAGATACCGGAACGCCGTCTGTTTTCATAATAATTCTATGTCGTTTATTAGCTTAAAACTATTCCATATAGCATRAGHGTAAATATTATGCTGTTTTTGTTTTATTTTTTGCAAAAGTTTGAATTTAATTAGCTCTAMACATGACAAATTTCATCATACATTTTTTCCACTTAAAAAATTAAATAAATAAAWAAAAAAAGCGGGTAAGTCGTGGATGTCGCTCTACTGTACAGTAGGTTACACGTGAGTTACTGTAATGGAGGAATTCAATTTGAAACCAATGATATTATATCATTGTTACGAAAAACGATTCTGAGTAGATTCTGTCAGTTTATCTGTCTAGAATATATTAAAGATTATTAAAAATTTTCAAAACTTAGATTTAAAAAGAAAAAATTTTATGGATTTCTAGCTTAAAAAATTTGCGAATTTTCGTGATTTTTACGTATATTGTCAAAATTCAAACTTTGAATGCTTATAAAAAAAATTGTGACTACCTATATATTTTTTTTTATTTTTCAACTGCTATTATAAAAATATGTTAGGAGCCTTGTATTAAATTTTCAAATCTTAGATTTAAAAAGAAAAGCTTCTATGAATTTCTATCTAAGATAATTTGAACATTGTCGTAATTTTTGAAATTTTTTGAAAATTGCATGGTGGATAGAATATACTTATATAAACATTCGGTGAAAATTTCATGAATATATAGTCATTTTTTTTAAAGTTACATCAAAAACCAAAATCGGTTTTGTCGAAAACTGATTGTGCGTAAACTTTCTCGTTTTTCCCCTAATTTTTAGTCTGTTTATCCCAATTATTTAGAAAAAATATTGGGAATTTTTTACTTTTGACTCCCCCCCCCCAAATACCAACTAGATTCACTTTCTGATCGAAAAAGGTACTGAAGTCGAAAATTGAAGCATTTTTACTGCTCCAAAATGTGATGATAGACACAAAAAAAAAATAAAAAGCACACACATCATGATAAAATCAATACATTTCTCATTCCAATCAGAATCTAAAAAACAAGAATTTAATATTTACAATCTGTTAAAAGTCATAAGCGTATAACATTAAAAATGATTCAACACACATTTTCAACGTCATAATATTATGATTAGGTCATTATGGAATAACGAATATTAATACACTATTTTTATCATCGGGGAATTCGTTATAGTATTATTGTCACACAAGATTTTAACACAAAAACATGAATGTTTATAGAAGTATTTAAGCAATTTAATATTTTTTTAGTTAATTAAATGTAATATTTATATAGAAAAACACTTTAAGTAAGTGTTTATATAGGTAATTATTATTTCACGTTATAACCACCCATTATAAATTATAATTAATATTCTAATTAAACTCAAAAATCTATTGTTTATGYTAAAAGAAGATAAGTACAATATTTATATTATAATTAATTTAAGTTTGTTAAGTCAACATATAAGTAAGATAGTCTATAGGTTATAAGTCGATGGATATAATAAATAATAAATTTAATTATTCAACTTAATAGTAGTCAATAATAGTTTAAAAAAAAAACTGATCGTTGTTTATACCCCTTAATCAATACATTTGAGTTTTATTTATTACTTATTCTATTTATTATTTCATTATTGTATCTTAATTTTTTTTCGTTATTTTTAGAAATATTTCCCATCTCTCAGTGAGTGACATATTTCGTCATGATTAATAATATAATTCCAAAAATCAAATAGTTGATGATCTAATGACAATATGATACAATATCAAATAAATTTTTAGTTTGAAGTTTAAMATAATGGATAGTTATTAAATCAAACAGAAATCGTAAAATTTTGAGTAGAAAATTAACCATTTGATAAAGAAAACAGATTTAAAAATAATAACTAATCYATTGTTTATTCAAGAACTCACCTAATTATGGCGAAGTCGTTTCTACAGCTGGCCCTGTCCGGAATAGGCCATATTGTGAGCGGCCTCCGATGACGAACGTCCCCATCCGGCCGAGCTGTAAGAGTCACTGCCGTGGGACTCGTGGTGCGGGTGAGCTACCACCTCGTAAGTGACGTGTTTCTGTTGGCTGAACAACTTTTTCAGCCCAATGATGGTGGCTAACAGGAAAGCGAGCTTGCTGACAAACAAAGCTTTTCCTACAAGCAGGGCGAGAACCTTAAATGCCATGACCTTGAGCATTCCCATTTTCATCATCATGGCCGCCATCATAGGACCCATATTCTTGTTCTTACCCCGTCCTGCAATACGGTGGTAATAATTAAATCACAATCATATCAAATTTTACCCGAATTTTGTAATTTTACTAAATAATATTCTATAACAAATCTAATTTAAACGTTTTCATCTTGACTGTATAAATTATATAKTAACTTAGTCATCTATTATACTATGACTGTCTATTACYATCTATGACTACGTAATATATGATTATATTTTATATTTTCAAATTTAGACTGGGTGGTGTAACGTCTCCTCTCCACGTATTTCTTCGTATCACTTCTTAGGTGTCATGTTTATATTTACGAGGTATCTAAGACTCAGCATATTAGCCGTGCTCAACGTAGGGAGTAATGTACGATGTCGATGATGACAATCGTTATAGTAGCTAGAACTTATTATACACGTTCGTATGTATGTTATCAGTAGACTAAAAGGTACACGTAATCTGAAATTGTGTGTTATTATAGAATTAAAAAAAAACCTGTGTATCGAAACTTATTGTAGGTAACACACACACATTTGCACATATTATATTTTAATAATATACCTATAAATATGTATATGTACTAAAATTTGGTATTTGCATTTAACGTTAAATCAAATTTTGATGCACACGAATAATAAATTACAAATCATAGTGAATCTTTCTCGAGAAAAAGTCTGTGACGATTTTTGCGATAATACTATTATAGTCAGCTATATCCTATGCACTATACTTGTATAATATGCCTATATATGGCCGACCTGTGGTAGATACGACTCAACAATATTATTTTATTATACTTTTTCAGCAGTTAACTGTACACTAATGTATAGCTCGCCTGCAGCTGCGATGCGCCAAATTCACAAAAACTACAAATAATATAATGTTTCACGCTGGTGGTCTGGTAACTTGACCCGCTATATATGTTTCACGCTGGTGCCGACTGGATTTTTCCCGTCCTCCAGGATTCTGGAAAGTCCCCAAGTGGTTCGGACCTACCTCCATAACGATATCATATCGTGCATTGTCTACATATACACATTATACTGCAGGCAGGTAACTAAGTGCTATAATAATATACTTTTCCGAACGACTGTCGCCACCGTGGTAGTCGTTCGCGTCGTCTTCCCGCCCACCCGCAGGTAATCGTTTCCATTGTTGTCAACTCTCGGACGAAAATTAAACGTTAATAATTCGAAAAGAAAAGTGCATTGTGTCTAACCTAGTTGTATTGTTGCTCGTCTGTGCGTGTAAGTACGTACGTATGAGTGTGAATTCCCGTGTGGGGTTATGCGCGTGTGTGTGTGATGATGATAATTGACGATAGAGAATCAATGCGAAAACGATGTGTCAAATCGTTAGTTCCCGTCACGTAGGTACCGTGCTGCGGGGACCAGCGAGAGAGAATTTCAAATAATAATAATAATATTATTGTTATGTGGTTGAAGACGCGTCGTGTGTATTGTGTATGTGATGATGGTGTGTGTGTGTGRGAACGTCGTAGGTACTTATATTGTATATTTAATCGACTCGTGGATAGCAGATGGAAAAATATTAAATGGATCTATGTTGAATCTGATCACCGCGAGGTGTTACATATATATAAACGTGAAAACGACTTTCTGAACGGCCGCAAAATCGGTCTGAGAAAATACATAAACGTACGGTATGTATAAACGTTTTCATCTGGTGTCATATTAATGCATCGTGCCGGAAAGTAAAAACATTTCGATTGAAATAATATTTCGGAAATGATTTTACACGCTCCGACGAGTCAAAAAATTGTACCAAATGGCGCGCGAAAGTACTTAATCGCTCGTTATAATAATCATATGTATTACGCGATCGTTTAAGACGGCGCGAGACATTTCAGTATTATCAAAAAAATTATTAGACTTCACGTGCAAAATGTCGCGACATCGTCGTCTACAAACACGGTGAAAAAATAATTGATATAAAAGAAAAATAATAATTTGATATTGCTTTTTTTCTAAATCCTATAAATATGATATACCTAACCCAATAATGTCCAATCAAGACGTCATTTTTCCTCAGTCAGAAATCGGGAAAGTAAAATTGAATATTAGCTGATAATATTATTGATGGCTTTCAAATAATCCGTTCGACTGAAAACGGTAATTTCTCAGGACAATAATATAGGTACCAATTAATACAAAATCAACTATGTATTAACTAATAAAACTAATGTATTATAATTTATGATTGAGGCCAATTACTACAAATGACGCGTCTAAAAATTATTCATGTTAAACAACATTATTAGTATGCATATAGTATACTATTATATACGTTCCTAATTGAAAACAAATAGCTAACATATTATAAACATAATACAATTCAGTGAGTGTGTTTAAATTTACATTAAAGTTCAAATCATAATATTATAAATTACAATAGATTAATATAGGAAGTGAAAGAAAGATTTTAAGTGATTATAATTATTATTAATAATAATGGTGACAGATCTAGACAAATTTACGAGACCACAACGTTTGTTTATGGATGCTTCTGAAAAGTAATCCCTTTTTGAAGAATAACTTTCCTAAGTAAACAAGAAAACRGTTTTTGAAATTTACAGCCCTATACAAATTTCAACAGCCAATATAGTCACAAAATGAATTTACGAGTATGGAAAAAAATTGTTAAACATTATTTTTAATATACATTTAAAGGTACCCAAATTAATTTTACAATCGAGTCTCTTGAAAAATAAAAAATAAAATATACTATATATGATGTTTATGTATCTTTTGAGTTGTATAATATCTCAAACACAACTTATAAAACACTTCAAGGGGTAAGAATAAAATTTTATTTACACATATTTTTACACTGCAGCAACTACGCCTATGTTGAAAACTACAGCAACATTATAACATTTCTACAAAGAACTAACTTTACAACCTTATATAACGTATCAATGTATCTTTATTTTTGTTAATGTTAATAACCTTAGTTGTTGAGGCTTAATTAAATTTTTTTTTTAAATTAGTTATCKAGACTCAACAAGTGTATTATCATATTATTTTATAATTTCTGATACTATCGATTATTTTAGACTTTTTCATATCTATAATTTATTTTTATAGGGCTATAGATTATAGATACCGAGAAAAATATGCTATCTGTTACAGTTTAAATATATTATTAAAAATGATTTGTTTGTTTTTGAACATGATATATCTGGTGGTGGTAGGAATRAAATCATTAAAACAGTGAACAAATCAAAACWATTATAATTATGATGATTTAATAAACATATRTAATAGTAAGGCTGGGATTTTGATGCAAAGCTATTTTTTTTCTTGTGTTTCTAAAYGTTGGTCCGTAAGTATAAAATGTGTTTTGGGTGATACTGATTACTTTAAAGTGATTTTTTTTTCAATTTTTTGACAATTTTGGTGCATTTTTTTAGCTTTCATAGAATTTTTTAAAATTTTTTCATAAAATGAACGGAAATTTTTGTGATTAACAATAGACTTTTGACAAACTGCCGACGGTACAAATTATAAATTATACAGCATGACAAGTTATCGTCAATAACAATATTTTATTACCTATAGGTCTTTTGGCTAAAATTATTGCCATTGTATTATACATAATATTATGTTTTATTATTGTTATTAAACTATACATGCATAAAAAGTAAAACATTTATGTTTCAATGTTTAAGCTATATAATAATTTAAATGTATTTTTGAGATTTTTTAGGGTATTAAAATAATTCCAGCCCTAGACTAATAGTATATATTCGATCATTCGGAAAATATTGTTAAAACTATTATAATTCAATGATATGTATTATTCACGTATTTTTTTTGCTTATAAAAAACCATATTGACTTTGTTATTTTGTAACTAATAATTATTTTTATTTATTATACATACCTAATAAAGAATAAGATCACTGTGATTTGTATGTTTTAAAAATTACTATCTAAAACTTATTTAATTATATATCAAAAAAATAAACACGTAATATTTTTATAGTATTCAGAATTATACTGAAGGACCGTCACGTACTTGAAATATCAACCTTAATGTTTGGATAAATTTAAAATTATTTCCCGCCATAACAACGTACCTACGTTGATACATGATGATAACGTACTTGTACTGTCGTGAAGAAAAAAACAACTAACAACGACAATATTACTATAATATATTATACTCACCGGATTCGGTCAAATCTTTGCCGGACCTGAACGACATGCCAAAGTTGAGTGAACCATCTTGTTCCGGSGACGCGGACACGACAAAATCGGCCTCGGGCAGTACCTTGATCTTAAGCGCGCGAGACTGGACGTACCTCCACAGCTTGTCAGCCATCACCTCTCCGAACGCCGACTCGTCGGTGTACGCTCTGGCAGAGCCGTCCACGCGGATCGATGACGCCTCGTCGGTGTTAGTAGTTTCCTCGGCCTGTCCATCCTTTTTGGCAATCTCCATCATGTCGCTGATCTCCAGGCTGTTCTTCTTCATCAGCTTGTTCATGTACGTGACCAGTTTCAGCATGACGCAGCTGGACACGTCCCGGGCGCCGCACTTGGCGTTCAACTTCCGGATCAGCTCTTCCTCGCGTATCACGTACGACGGCTTGGCGTGCGGCTGCTGCAATAGGTTCACGTCATTAGTTCCGTCCTGCTGGTCACGTGGCGGTGGAGGCGGCTGYTGAGGCGAGGACGACGACATTGGCGAACCGGCCACCGACGCGACCACGGCCACCAGTACGAACACAGCGACGAACTTAACAGCAGACATCGTGCGATGAATTTAAACGGCGGCGAACGGTAGGAAAACGAAAAAAAAACTTTTTTTGCCGATTTATCGATATCGCGACGCCACTCGAAYGACCTTCGATGGAACGATTGTAATGTTAGATAGTGCAGTTATCGTTGTAAGCGTTTGCGGCGGGTGACGGCGGACGGACGGCGCAGACCACCGGAAAACTGGACGCGAATCGAGTAAATAATGAACGCATCGGCCGGCCAGGACCCCCTTATATGCCATTTCGCGAGCGGCAACGCAACTGGTCTTTCACTTGCCGCCGCCGCCGCGATTCCCTTTCTTCCGGCCTATCTTTGTTCTCACCAAAAGTAAAACGAGCTATAATAATACACGTCCGAGAGCTATACTATTTAATGCGACTTATAGCCAAGAGTTGATGAATATTTTTCGGATCACATCACGCCAGCGTTTGGCGATCAGTAAGTTGTATAGGTAACATATTAAATAGGATGTCGGCGACGGCTGTGACCTACGAACATTTCTTTTTAGCAGCGACCGTCGGGAGTCTTTGGAAAAAACAAAAACATTTTTATATCAGGTTAAAGGGTAAATGCATTTCGTTAGTTTTAAACGCCTCGAAAACAATAAACATCATTATTATATTGCTGCATCTGCTCTGTTATGATATTTCCATCCACGGATTTATTGTAGCAAATTAAACTTTCGAAACTCACGTTGACGCTAATAATGAGTGAATAATTTAAATTTTTAATTTAATCAAGATACAATTGTATAGTACGCTCATTATTTACATATAGGTATATACAGCAAAGCAATTTGATTAATTTACCCCGGGAACCAAAATAGCTTGCGGTAAAACAATAAATTACAGAGAAAATATAGAAGGGATATAAATACGAGTAAAATAAATGAATTTGAGGACCTTAAAATACAAAATTTCCTAATTCTATACAAAACATTACGCTTGAATAAAATCATCATACTATAGATATGTAGTACTTTACAGTGGAATAATCGAGTAAAATATATTTTATTTTTATATTYAAAGGTAATGAGTTAAACATAATTAGACCCAGCTCAACAAATATTTGGAATGAATAATTTTTTCGAAGCGCGTAATATTATACTACTTATTACATGAAGTGATGAGTTATAAATTTTCATTATTTTATAATCGGGTAGTTAAAAAATTCGAGAAATAATTAAAAATAATTTCCACTATTTTATTTGTTTCTTCATTTAAAACGTTTGATCGTACAATGATATAAAAAGATTTTCACACATCATCAGCATTTGACCAACTCGTCACCTTTACTACGCACGTGCCAAGATATGTTTGTCACCCTTGCACTATAGGTAGGTACATAATCATAATAGGATATTTGCAGATGTAYTACATATAACAGGCACGTGACCTTGTTATCGGCGGCACCCGTGGTTATTATAATCGTTACCATGTTATTATTATCATCTTCGTACAGTGCTTCGGTCACGTTGAAACCGTCGCACAAACGATAATTTCATATTTTACTTATTGGATACTATATTATAGAATACACGTGCAGCAGAAAATATAAATAATATAAATTCGCCTAGAAAACTGCTCACGTCGGACCGCTGTCCGGCTATTTTAGAGACGATCACCGAGCACACTGTTGMATATAATTGTTATCAATAATGATGGAATCATCCGAACGGTTAAAAATAAATGCGAACGTTAAAATAAATAATGATCATCGTGCTCGTCAGCTGCGTTCAAATTGCCGAATAGACGCCTCGAGTTCTGTATAATGGGAGAGGCGATGGCGAAGAAATATCTTTCCATTCGAAATGGCCTAATCAAATATACGCACACAAATGAGAGACGAAAGAAAATCAATTATTTTCATGTGGCTAAATTATATAGGATTGGTGGCTAGAATTCGTTCAATTAAAAACTCTCGTTATTATAATATAGGTAATGTATACGGCACCTATATAGTCGAATACAAAATGTACACTATAGTCTACGTAGACTCTGGGCTTGGTCAGCGTCGACAGATTATGCGATGCTATCGATCATTTCATTTATATAAACACGACGATTAACACTTTGATCCATCACATCGATGGCCTAGATACCAAAAGTTAAAAAATCGTTTTTTTTTTTTTTCATAACAAAATCTTAATTTTATGATGAATTAGGTATATTTTGAATATTAGAGAATTTAAAACTGATCATCTGACCAAAAATTTTGTGTTTGTGAGTTAAATATTGTAGTCTTTTTAAGATACTATACATACATATACTATAATTACTAATACGTTTATTGTATTTTTGAGCTTTATTTAAATCAAAATTTGAACTAGTAATTTTGTGCTTTATAACTTTGTGTATTGGAAAATAATATGTTTATATTTTAATGCATTTGTATGTTCTCAAGATGGTATTTTGATAAATGTGACGAAAATCACTCGAAAAAAAATACATTTACAAGAAAAAAAAACGAATAATTAAAAACTGTTAATACTATAGGCTTGGTCTCTCTACAACCGGACATAATATTTTAGATTATCAAAAACAAACATCTCATCGATATTACACGCATTTATACGAAATACGCGTAGAAAAAAAAAATATAAATACACGTTTATATTTTATTTGTATGTACTTTATTTCGTTTCCACGATATTAGAATGCACTACGACGAGTGGTGTGTATTAAAATTTTCTCAGATTTTGAATATACGACTGTGAACTACTTTGAAATATTTTTTATTTTTATGTTCGTATAAAATCATAAAAACAAGGAATACCGATTGCGTGTTTTATATCCGTAAGTCTCGGCAACTATAGGTACATAATATGAGAATTACAATGTAGATATATATAATAATATTTTCTGAGCGTTTGACACACATTTCGATCAATTAGCTTCAATAATGGTATATTTTCTATATGGGAACCTTTACGGTTATATGCGTTCTCATAGGTAAGGAGACATAATTTTCTAACACAGCCAGTAATTTGCATCATTAATTTCCATGTTTGCCGTCATCGATAATATTATTATTACACATTGTACGACATGCACATACTTTAAAGGTATGATATGTTTTTTTCAATCTTTATTATGTACACTCGAAATTTTACTATTTAAAATTTTGTAAAAGATACTTTTTAAAAATATTCAAATACAGTTACGAATACTTTTTGACGTGGAAAATAATTATTAAGATTATATTATATTAGATTATTTACGAGAAGACCGATTATCGACTCGTCCAAAAAACGAAATCATCCGGACGCGAGGAATGTCATAATTTTTGTGTGAAAATGTTAAATGGATTATTACAATGAATCGGATGTCTTGAATAACCACGATGGCACAGTGTAGCAAAATTTGGAGTAGGTATATACTACATGATTTATTATTATACATTATTGTAGTATAAGTACCACAACCGTATTAGATCCACAAAATGTATTTTGTAGTTTATCATAAATATATTTTTGAGCTGGTTACGAATATTTTGACTTTAATAAATTTTCCATAACGCTTTGCCTATTGTAAAAGAAACGCAAATCGACAATAATATACATATATATTATATATATACATATATATATAATTATTTTGAACATATTAATTATGATTCGTACATTTTCTGTGGAAGATATCGAGTAGCACACTACGTCGCTCTTATAATTTTTATTTTTTTAAACTAAATGCGATACTATATTCTATCATCTATGGAGTTATTTTTATGTCATAAATTGTGATCACAACAAAATCGTCAAGGTTTTATTTTAAAAATTACTGACTGTCAATATAATGTAGATTATTATACAAATCAAATTACCGTATACCGGTACCGGTACTGTACTCGTACACAATCACCATTGATAAAAAATGACAATGTTTTTCAGGTAACTATTTTCTTCAGCATACAATTCTGTAGTTGATCTCTTTTTTAGCATTGTAGTATAATAATTTATTATCACACATACATCGTTTGTGTAAACACGAGACGGTATAGATCAGAAATTCATTGTGATTTTATAGCATCATGTTAATGGTATTACACGCGTATTCGGTGTGTAGATTTTACACTTGAAATAATTTTAATACAATTTTTAAATTGGAATTATTATTATGATAATAGTCAGGTATTATAAGTTTTGCTGTTTCTATTGTACTACTCAATAAATGATAAATCATACGAGAAACACTCTATATAGTACTTTTATWAAAATATTTAGTTCTTTATTTTGTCCTGGCTGGCTGAAAAAATAATCGGAAATAAATGTAAGATTTCTTTCTAATAGCCACTGCATGGGAGGTTGATATCTATTAGACTACCTCAATTTCACATTTCAATAATTGTATTAGTCTTATTTTTCATTTTCTTATCACTGAGTGCCACTAACTATGGTATGATATTCCTAAGAAATTTCCAATGCACTAATATGTTAATCACAATATTGTTGTTCCTCGATCAAAAAATTTAAAACATATAAATTTAGTGTTTTATATTTTATTTTTAATAAAGGGTCTCTTACATACATTTTGCTTGAAACAGTAGGTAACAAATAAACCAAAAATACATATAACCACCATTTTTACCCGGCATAAATATTAATTGTATAATATCGTTTTGGCGTAGTTTTTTCCCTTTTTAAAAACCTGCAAAAAGAAAAAATGAATCATTCAACAAAAACATATATTATTTACCTAACCCCCGAACCCACGCCAATATAGGTGAGTTCTGCCTTTACAATGATATACAGTGTRTATACATGAAAATCAGCGTTTTAACGACAGAGACTCATAAAAAGGTATGTATAAATACATCCATTGAGCCAYATTGGTATAATGTAATACGCGAGGTTCCTCGCACGAACTCTGMAGCATCGGATACGACGATGATAACGATCTGCTGCAGCTGTGACACTTAAAAAACAGAGTAGGTAGGTAAGAAAAAATATGTCCTGGCCACACGCACGCGCTTAGCGTGTATGCAGACGATATAGAGACTTAAGTTATATACCTAAGCGTAAGTATACCACCAAGCCACCGGCAAGTCGTTTCTCGGGACAAAATTTATCGCAAGATGGTCACCCCGAGATATATTATTATAATGTGATGATAAACAAACAAAATGGCCATTACATGCGTATTCAGCACGCGGCGGCTTGTTAGCTTAGAGAGAAGAAAAAAAGACGACTACCTAATAATA